TCTCACAGGCACTTAACAATAAAACGCACTGAGAGAATGATAAGTGAAGGAAAGCAAGAAATTCAAGGGTACCACTCGTCACATCGATCACCTTACGAGACGCCTCAATGAGCAGAAGCCGAAAATAAGCTGATTCTGAAAGTAAACGTCTGCGAACCAGCTGCTAGGAGCGTACGGGAGGATATCAGCATGCAGTATTCGGCAGTCCTAAGGAAGAATTAACCCGAAGTTTGTGTAGAAGTGAAAGGAATTAGTCGAATTTATCAAGAAAGCGAGGACAGACAGTTCGGCTTACATAACACTGTCAAGGAAGACAACTGGGGTAGAAATTAGTACAAACAAGGAAGAATGACCTCTTCGGTTCGAATTTTCCATCATCTTCATCGACTACACTGAAGAGGTACATTCAGTCATTTACACTTTGCAGACCACAGCTGTCACTGATCCTACGAGCCAGATGCCATAAAAGAGATATACCATCCTCTTCCAGCACAAAGCAGTGATCGTCAGACAAATGGAAATTCTGTGGGCAAAACGAGCGACACATAATCTCTGGGTGACACATTTCGATCAGAAGCATTTCCCAGGAAGTGTCGGCTTCCTCGGCAACACAGTACGGAGAGGACGAGTCTCGAAATGGACAAAAGCAGTTTATGGCAAAAGAGGCTGTCATTCCATAGCAGTGACTCGCCTGACCTCGCCACTGCCACGTCTGCGAAAATAAGAATTACTGTCTCTTTTACAGTGGCAAAAATAGTCGAAATGTGACAGAAATTTGGCTAAATTCAGCAAGGAATGCTAGAATATACAGATGAGGCAAATAAACACGCAGTTTATAAACCAAAACGAAAAAGGTGCGTCAAAATCGGGGTGTAGAGAGACAGAGACGAAGACAGAATGAATAGGGCTGGCACCATCTTGGTCGAGGTACCAAGTCCGATCGCTCTTCAAATCACCGAAACTTGCCTAGTACATGCTGTTGTTATTGAAAAACTCAAAAAACGCCTGGTTGACTGATTTTGGTAATTCATGAGCAGATTCGAATGTACTAAGATGGGAAACAAAATAAATGAGCACACATGACCAGAGCAGAACTGCTACAGTGACAAAAAACTAACAACTTTCTGGTTGACAGCATTCTGAGCAGGCAAACCGCTTTCCGCCTCCAGTGCTTCTCTGATTTTCAAGCGTGCTTCCTGAACTTCTTCCGGAGAAGCAGGAAACTGACGCTGGCTCAATTTTTCCTTCAACTAAAACAGTACTAATTAAGCAGGCCCAGAGGGGCAATAAGCCAACAAGAAGTAAGCAAGCCGTTAACTTTTCAAAATAAAAATGGCAAACCAGCTGATCAATCGCTGCCCAAATGAGAGTGCAAGAAAACGCGCGCCACTTTCGAGGACACTACGAAAAATTTGTACTGAATCTGTGTGGAGTTCCAGTGATTATGAACATAAATAATAGCGCTCTAATACTATCAAAGAATGCCGGGATACTGACGGACTTCCCCGAAGCTATTTCAGGTTCCCTTTCAATGTTCATCTGCAACTCTTCAGTGTTTGCATTGTCAGATTTTGAGAAAAATACTAACTTGATCTGCCTCAAGCTGAATCATCTTCGGAATTAGTGAGCAAGATTTCAGCGCATTCCACAGGCCCAAAATTGCTTTTTCAGGTAAAACACCGCCGTATTTAAATCGCATGTTTTTTACTAA